AGTAATGAGTTTTAGGAATATATTAATTCCCTACCCCCGTCCCAGCGGTCTCGCAGGTAATACCCGCCCTGTGAGCAATTTTGTTTCAGCCAGATGGCTAGCTTTTGAAGCTGGCCAACACTGGTAGCACGTGGCATGTACGTCAAGGCACCTTTGTGGCACGTGGCTCCCCCTTTTCCCCCTAAGCCGTGCAGCTGCTTTTGCTGCAGATGATGCAGGTGTGCTTTCCTCCCAGGATCTGCTATTCTGTCACTTACTCGTTTCGTCCAGAGTAACCGTTTATTTGGGTCTTTCCGACACGTGTGACTACTGAGTGACATCATTGTCGCGTGCAACGAGGTGACGTAAACGGGCCGCCACGCAGTCCATCGTCCCTTAATTCTCTTGTGTGTGTATGTGTGTGAACTCCTGTGCTGTCCGGATAGCATCTGCCTTATAGGAGGACAGCCTATCAACCTCGTGAACTCGTATATAGAATTGAATGTGACGGCGCTGTGTTCGTATTCTGCTACTAGCATTTGAGCTGTGTATAAGACAGACGAAGGTAGTGAGTTTTAGAAGTACAGATGTTGTGAAGTTTCATTAAATGCAAATTTAGTGGTAGAACTAATTTAGACTAGATGAATTTCATGCGCATCTTGTTTATAAGTTTCATTTTGTGCACCTTTTTGCAGTAAATCTGTCTTCTGATGAATTCTCTACTGCTTCATGGCGACACCTTCCCTTACTATTCTTATAGTATGGCTTTTCCACGGGTCTCTCATCACGGTAAGCAGCAATTTTAGTATTTTAGAACTCAAATATACAATTTTAAGATACAATCTGAGATCAGAATCTAAGTAACCTTTAAGCCCTGACTTTATGTATTACAATATGATTAGTTTTTGTAATATTTCAACCTATTTTTACTTTCAAACTCTTACTTCTACTACTCGTAACTAAGGTTATGAAACTCGTAAAACTATAATAAAGTCTACATAATAAAATATAATTAACATTACAAAAAATTTAACATGTTAAAACCTTTTTAACGATTTCAATATAGAAGCATAATACGTTCTTGTACTTTATGATATTTTACTTTCTATTGTTAAAAAAAAGTTAGGATACTCTGATAAATGGGGTAATATTTTAATACTTAACATTTAATTTAATTGGCTATAAACATATAGTTGATGAGAATAGGTTGAATAAGTAGAGAATGCTTATATTCTGTAATTCTAGGCTCACAACAAAATGACATTTATTACTATAACATCCCTGTAGCTTGAACTCGAATATTTAGGTTCGTCTCATGCATACCTTAGAATCACTGTGTGGGTCCCACATTGTAGTTTTGTTCATTATCTGTCTGTCTTTTGTGTGTGTTGTTTGAAAAGTTGCTTTATAATATTATCAGAAGCAAAGATATGTAATTGTTACGCCCTCTGTCCTTTAAAATGTTAAAACCTCAACATGACTGTAAGTTGTGTGATCTTCATATACACACACACACATATATATATATATATACATATGGCATTTCTTTCCTGTGGAGATGTACATTCTTTACAAATAGTTAGAGAACTTAGTTTGACCTATACTCTGTCAAAAAATGGAATGTTCTTGCGTCTTTTTTTCATATAAAAACTTTATTTTTTAAAATCCAAAAGATTACAAATTACGAAACAATACAAACAATTATAATTGAATGATTATAAATTATAAACTTTACATATTTCTGTAGTTTTTCCGTACTTGAAACTTGTGATTATTATGAAAGAACTCGTGCTACTAAGTATTATCTAACGAAAAAAATAACAGAAAAAAGTTGGAAATTTTCAACGTACTTCGTAAGTGTGAACTTGAGGATAAAAAGTGCGTTTGCTATAAAGTTGATAAATTGAATATTGACTGAGATTTATGATCACAAGCCAGACCTCTTAGAAAGGTGTGCAATAGTTTATAACTTTAAATCAATTGTCCTGTGTCGTGTGACATAAGGGTTTGTTGACACGTCTCATCAACGTACATTGACATGACAAAATCTTTTCTGATGGTGTATTGACTTAGTTTCAATAAAACTAGAATTGTGTTTTCCTGTAGATCCTCGAAAAACGCCGGAAATGCCAACACATAATAGAAACGTTTCTTGTTTCTCACGCGGATTTGTAGTATGCTAGTTATACCTTCTTGGCGTGCATGGTTCTTGTTTACACTTGGAAAGTTTACATGGTACACTTCTGGAACCCAAATCCTGTCTTCTCACAATGAAGAAACCTTTAGAGGGCCACAGTAACTAATCAAAGGTGCCATTTTTCAAGTTGAGGCGAATTCATCGATAGAAAAGAAGCGTAAACAGCCAAAAAAATGGCACTGATAATAGTGAAACTTATGAAGAAAACAAAAACTATTGCATGGGGATATGAACAAAATTATTAGTCTAATGTATAGAATACTTCGAATTAGAATGTGTCCAAACTTGTAGCATTTCCAGTTAAGCAGTACAAAATGTTGATTTCTGTATTTTGTGAAGATTTAGCTCGGCATTGTATAACAAAAACATTGACGAATTTACGTCTTATACGTCTTTTGCTATAGAAGATGTTTATTAACAATGTTCAACGCTAAAACTTAATTTTTCTCTTCGAAATACAGAATTTTGAAGTATTTTTCTAAGGACTATATTGTATAATTCGTATGTTTCTCATCTTGCAGCTTACAGAATAACTTGTAAAGTTTTAGTTCTGCTTATATAATTGGATTACGTTTGATTAGAAGTAATTAATGATTAAAAACCTTCAGTTATTTTCAACACCTAAAACCAAATCCACGTAAATCGTAGCAAAAGCTACGAAAATGGTAATTTTAACATTGCCTTTCTGAGTCATAACTCTCTATTATAAGGAACGCTTAATCGCAAAACTTACAGTCAGGCTAATGAAAAGTGAATGCTTTTCCGGTATGAATAGCAAGCGGTAATAACTAAAATATTTTTTTATATGTAGTGACAACATACGTTAGAGTAGCTACTAAATCTGTCAAGAAGTTCGTTTAGTTAAGTAAAACATAAGATTTATTCATAAAGTTTCCACAAAATGAAAATATGATAAACCTCATTGTCAAAATAATGGGCTTATTCTACTTAATGTTATATATAGTAGTAGTATTTAGTAAGTAGGTTGAATAATATGGGTGTTGGACCAAGGATTATTCTATAGTAGGTGTCTACAGTAGGTGATAAATTCAAGAATAAACGAAGAGCACGCACTGCACTTGTTTTCAAAGTAATATATATATATTAGAACTAGTTCAACGTATGCACAACAAATTTTTCACACTATAGAGATCATGGGTATATCATAAACACTATATATATAGTTCTCTACTTGTTGTCAAAACTCCACTTAGGCCTGCTCAATTGCTTTAAAATTTCAGTTGACAAATCGAACTACTTTTCTCTATTTTTATCTTAAACACTATCAGTGGATAATTCATTTATTCATTTTCTTCTCTCTCCTTTTCTTTTATCTTTTTATCCCAACAGTATCGGTGTATTTCACTTACGCTACCGTTGAGTTGCCCCTGTTGTATTCTGAATTTCCGATACTCGTCTGCTTTTTCGTATTTAGGCCTACTTCCAATAAACGTCTGCTTTTTGCATATAGACCTGCTTCAAATAAACATCTGCTTTTTGCATATAGGCCTACTTCCAAATAATCTACTGCTTTTTATGAAAGTCCACACAAACAGGTTAAATTGCTTTAGAACACCCTTTGACAAAACAAATTATTCTCCTAAAATGTCAAAAAACTTTTAATCTCACTTTAACCGATCAACCGTTAGGCTATTCATGCCTACGAACGTTAACTTTACGTATTCTAACCTTTCTCCGACGGAAACTCTACTTCCTGTGACTTTACTTTCTCGTCTGCTCTGTCTGACTGCTGTTCCCGCTCGTCTCACACTATTTATATATTTATCACTTAATCGTCTGCTCGTCTTCTAGAAATCTCTATATCCTCGACATCAATAAATTTCAAGAATTATAAACACAACTTCCAATAATCGTCTTCTTTTAACTCCCTTTTTTTATAAAAATAGCTAAACAATCATAAAATATTAACTCACAAACTAATTGATTAATAATACCTACACTAAACAGTCTTTTATATCATGACTACTCATTAGAGTTGTCAGTCAGTATAAAACATTTAATGAACATCGAATCAAATGAGAATGAAACCTAACTTTTTATATTATAAAGGCAATGAAAAACACGCATGATAAATCCTTCCATCTGTTGGTGATGCACAGGTATGACTTTCATCTTACAGAAGAAACTCTTTGATAGAGGATTCGTTTTCTTATTATTAAAAATAATTTTTATCTCTTTCATTTAGCCATTTCTAAAACGTACGTTTAGTCTGGCATACAACAAAAGAAAACGAAATGAATAACTGGCATTTATTTAGTTGTAAAATTAGCCTACAGATATTGAGGAAAATATCTGTGCGTTGTTACTACACGGAACATAAAAAACAAGAAAGAGTGGATTCTTTTTTTTCAATTGTGTCAGTCTATTCCTGCTTTAATAAACTTTAAGCAATAAATTAGTAGACATTACAACTTTCATTTAGGAGCTGACATATAGAACCAATCATGACTACAAATCTTTAAATAAATAACTGTATAAAAACAGCTATTGTTTATATTTTTCAATCTTTTGAGGGTCTCTCAAATATTTTGTCAATAACTTTCAACTAGAAATGAGAAAAAATAAACAAAATAACTCGATTTTCTCGGCAACCAAAACTTACAATCTGTTACAACAATCATGTGTTCTGCTCAAGGTATTGAACGGTTTACAAAGGTTGTGATTGGTGAAAGTCTTCGTACAAGCGCGCGCACACTTCGAGATGCGTTTAGAGTAGGTAAAGAGTAAGTGGGCGCGCGCTTCTTGAGACCTTGCAAGAGGAACCGCCACGAGCGAACGTAGAGCTCTCCGATGTGAGTGTAGCATACGAGAAAACACTATTTCCGTGTAAAAGCCCGGCGACTGAAGAAGTAAGGGTAGCATTAAAAAATAATAATTTTAGGTTAGCGAAGATCGGACGTCAGCGAACAATTATTCCTAATAAATCATCTATTACGTAAAAAAAAATAGCCTGGTAAGTATTTTTTTGCTTCTTTCTAAGCACTAGGTTCTTGTATCGTTTTCTGAGCATAGTATCTTATAATGATGACGTTTTTAATGCTATTTATTTTTTCATAATAACAAAACCTGCCTTGGGAAGTTACAAATACATTAATGATATATGTCTTTTAAGTTTATTGGTAATGTTTCCGGCTTATGAAAGAGATGAACAGTTTTAATGTTTTACCTCAGGACACATAACAAACCCTATACTATTCAACTGAAATTATTGTTAAAGTCGAATGATTCTGTTTTAAACGACTTATTAGTCATTTACTAGTCCTACGTAATGCATTTTGCATAACTAACAAATTATTAATAAATCTCCAGAGTACCGAGACGAAATTCAATTAAAATTACTAGAATACTTTCAAAGAAATTTTGACATTAGAAGGGTTTCTAAGGGTCACGATATTGATAAAGTGGAATAAAAGATGTATAAAGAAGCCTTGCGTGGTCAGGTGCAATTGGCAGCCAAGGAAAGCATAGCTCGTGTATATTGGAGATTATGAGTATATGATTCCATGGTGGGGCTTGGGCGGTGAAAAGTCGACTTTCAGGGCTCAATGAATGAGATGTGGCTGTCAAATGCAGTGTTAGTAGCAAGTTATTGTTCATAGCTTCAAGACGTTCGGGGTTTGACAGCTTTGGGGTTTGGGGCACAATTCTCATTGTTTGAGAAACTGCGTCTGTAGATGACATGACGACTTTATGAACCATAGACTCGTTCGTGTCGTAGAACTTGCGGCAAAGAAGCAAATGTTAGCGAGTTTACTTTTCTTGATGATGATTACTCTTTCTCACTGCTTTTGAGGCTCTTTGCTTTTGCCATGCACCTTTGCTCTGGTTATAAACCATTGCATCTTTTGTTGATTATATCTATTTCTTTTTCGCTCAAACATCCTCATGGCATCTAAAAAAATGTTTTCCTACTATATATTTCCTGGTGCTTTGCAAGAATAGCAGTGTATTTGATATTTAAAAATATCGCATCCTCGGCTTTTTGATAACATTGACGGCTCTGTCAGTTCTTCATTTATCATTTGCAATGGATTTTTAATCAAGTAAAAAGCTCTGAAACTAGACTGACCGTTCGGGTAGACGATATGTTTCATTGAATAGTTTTGGCTTTGTGGACTGCTCCTGCCTGTTTTACAGTTGGACGAAGTTTCGGCTTTTATACTGAGGGCGAAACGTCGTACCACTTTAGAAAGACGACGGGGCAAGTATTCCATTAAAGCCCAAACTTCATTACGTCTGCAGTGTCTCAAATACCCTAGAAACGACATGTTTCGTTGTTCAAAATACTAAAGAGGATGCTTTTTATAATTAATATATTTTAGGACATTTTGAGTTTTTTAAAAGCCGACATATACTGTTAGTTAGAACTCGACAACGTTTAATACACGTTGAAAGAAGCCCTGACTCATTCTTCTTAGAAAATTACGAATAGAACTGGAGTGAAGATGATGGAGATGTGTGTTGACAGCTGCGCTGTTGTAGTTTGTCCCCCAAAATGTTCGGTTCAAAGAAAGTTGGAGTCTAGTGATGGTTGTTTAAGTCACTTTATTCTACTCTAAGCTCATATGACATGCGTAAAAAGGATTAGAGGTTTTGAATCATCAGCAATTGTCGTGTAACAATTCCAACATTATATAACACACAAGGGTGCTTCAAAAATAATTTTTCTTTTGTCATCAGCCTTGTTTAACGGGTCAAGAGAACCAGACAATACTATTTGTAGATTCAGCATTACCTAAATTTATGTATCAACTCAACTCTCTTTCTTGACCGCAAACAATTTTAAAACTGACCAGGTACATTCTATTTATCTAGTTAAGTAAAGCGAGAGCTACACTATACCATGTTCATTAGAGGAATTCGTATTATGGTCATTGTACTAAGTAATACATGTTAATTTATAGCTTAAAGTCCTTATCATTATGGCACTAAAGAGACAGATACGTGGTGTTATAGCGCAATGAAATTATAAAACATGCTTAAAGATGCATCTTTTGTACTGTAAGTGGCCTTATTATGCATTTGTATATGAATGGTATGCGTTTGTTCTGGTCTTGTGATGTTCTTATTTCGAGATTGCCTGAATTTCCTAATTCAACACTATTCGTCCAGGTTTCAATCATTTTACATTTCTGCTTCAATATTAACAGTATGTTAAAGTGAGTATTCTCATGTTTTCATATCAACAATATTATAGATTTGTGCAGGACCTTAGCTTCTTATGGCAGTCAAAATCTGGACAAGATCATCTGGAATGCGTTAAATCTTCAGCTTGTTATCCTAGTCTTTCTTTGATCTATTCGGTTTCAGACAAATTCTCATTGCCTATGATCTTATTTTTCTCATTCTAATTAAATTTTTGTTCAAATACGACCCGTATTTCAAAGCTTACTTTACACATAGAGGGACTGGCCACATAACACGTTGAAATTATTTTTTTTTTTTCAGATTACTAAAACAAGCTGCGCGAAAAGTGAAAGAACTTTATATACATACTTTTCAATAGACTGGTTACTCTTGGCAACCAATCTTTAAATATGCTCGTATGTTAGAGTCACCGAAGCAAGATTAATTCGTAGCTTGATACATAACTCTGACCTTGGTCTGAATTAGCTCTCAGTATTCCAGAATCATCTCAGTTAAATCAATTCTCAGCTTTTTTTCTTCACAGTTTAGTCATGAAAAAATTAATATCCTAAACCCATTAGCTACGGTACTGACTTGGCACAATAATTTCATATATTATTGTTGTTTACAATGAAGTTCTAACCATAAATTGCTCTCGCGTAGCAATAAATTTATAATTGTCATCAACCAAAATTTAAAGGCTAGATTTACTTTTCTCATTTATAATAAGTGTATGCTTGTCACTTCTTATGCAATGTTTTTATATTTTATTTTACACAATGGTTGACAGAGCGCTTTTTAACGATTTATATCACACTGACATAAATCGAAAATTCAAATTTTCATTGGACATAAAAGCCCCCTAGTGGCACAACGGTATGTCTGCGGACTTACAATGCTAGAAACCGGGTTTCGAGGCCCGTGCTGGGCAGAGCACAGATAGCCCCTTTCTGTAGCTTTGTGCTTAATAACAACAACATGACATAAGAAATATTTGCGGCATAAAATCTAATTCAAAAATCAGTATTTAATTCACAATGTATTTCATTAAATCATAAAACTTTGTTTTGATAATAACACTGAGTCAAGACAATAGCCTTCTAGTTAGAAACATATTACCTAAAAGCATGTAAAATCTCTGCGTTTATGAAAAAAAAAAGTATTATTTGAAATTCACAACACGATAAGTAGTTATGGAAAAGAAAACTTAAGCCAGAATAAATCACGTTTATTAGCCCTTATAGTAAGTTATATTTCAAATCTTTGTACTGTTGAGCCCGAATGAGAATGCACGACTCAACCGATGGCTTCCTTACAAAATAAAGAAATAACTAAAACTTTCATGTTATTTTTTATTCATAAGAAAATTGTTAATGTGCAAAACGCTTCACAACTTTGACTTGTTTTAGTTGTTTTTCCAGATGTCTATAAATTAATTTGCCAATGCTATTCTTGTTAAAACTTTCTTATTCCTTAATCTAGAATTTCAGCTGCGTATTTAGCTTTCATCCAAGTTTTGTGTTTGAACTTGAAAAATATTTACAAATAGTAGTTCACCCTAAAACAAGCACCAACAAAAAAAGTACCGTTCTGTTAGACCAGCTGATCCATTATTGTTACTCTCCTCACTAGTTTACACTGTTTATCTAAAGACCATGGTATACAGAACACAGGCCAACAGACCCCAGCGAGTTACTCTTCTTCCGGGGAAAGAGGGTCAACGCACGGGTGTCTGGGAGAATGAAAAGATTCTTTGATAATTTGTCTAAAAGGGTTTTGAATTGCGTACTGACAGCCGTAGGACCCGAAAAGTAAGAGTAAACTGAAAGGTGAGAGGATGTCGGGATAAATTCAACCGCCTTAGTTGTATTGGAACCCCCCTCACTCCAGATGCCCCCTGCATCATATCATCAAACAATGTGTTAGCTGTCAAACGATTGATTGAAGACAGATGTTTTCCAGCTGTTATTGATTGCCTGGTAATAAAATAAATTTGAATTGCGATTGGCTGTATGTTCCTTGGTCGCAGATGGCGGAAAGTTCAAATGCACTCATGCGTCTGAAGCAACATATAGGTAAAATATGAATAGAAAGAGAATGTAGCTATGCCACAAGATTTACTGGACTCCAGATGTTATGATGATTTGCAGATGAAATTTCTGCTCAATAATTCAAGCTGTATCACCAAACCAAACTTAATCACATGCCAGCTACACAAAACGTTTCAGTTAAACAAAAAGTTAAAAATAGTTCCATTGTGTGTATATATATGTTGTTATTTTTTTTAGGTGTGGGGAAGGGTAAATATAATTCAGAAAACAGAAAAATAAAATTTGCCTTGCAAAAATTTCGTGATATGATTTGATATAGTAAAGATAAAATCTATACATTAATAAATCTGTCATAACTTTATTTTGAGGCATTTGATTTCTAATAACGTGTGTTTATAATTTATAAAGAGGTTGAGACTTAATATTACGTTATAAATTTACGTTATTACGCTAGTTGGTTCGATGCAGTTCTTGTGATCAAAGGCATCTCTAACCAATTGCAGACTCGAACAGCATGTTTTGCATTATTTTGAATTTATGAAATACTTAAAGTTCATCGCATAAGATACTGAACCTTTAAGCATGTGTTTAATTGTTTAGATTAAGTATCGTTTTTCTTAACAAGTCTTTTACGTAAGCTTCAGTTTTAATTGTTAATTTTTATTAACGTCATCGGAGTACAAAATTTTATTTTCACTTGCGTTTCGTTCCGTTTCAGATGGCATTAAAATGATACCGATTTTTTTTGAAGAATTTGTATTGAAATTGTAACTTA